GCAGATCTATTATTTAATTAATAGACAATTAAATAAATAGTAGAGTCCGTAAATTCAAATTTTCGTAATTTGTTAATCACGAGGAGTTGTGATTGTGAGATACAAATTACATCTGATTGAATCTTAAATTGCCCATGGTCGTAAGTAATAATGAGATACAGATATCGTTATTACGGATAGCCATCACATGTGGCATTTCTTACTTATGAAGTAAGTAGCTGATCTCACAAGCTAAAGTGTGGTGACACTTAAATAAACACGTGGATATTTTGTTATAGAACAGACCCGTCGAGAGATTCCACATGAATAACTATCTAAGTGCCAGTGGTTAATTTCTAACGTTCGGTAGTGGTATTGGTCCTTTGACTTGAGGTCGTCATGGTATCTTATATGAGGACAGTCATACTTTGGCGGTGTTGAATATTGCTCTGCAAAGGGCCGCTAATACGACATCGTTTGAGTATGTCAATAATCGTATGAAGGTTGTGATTGACCAATAAAGGATTCGTCACTCTTAGATAGTAGGAGATTATGATTTGCGTTTCATTCAATTAAGTCGATGATGAAATCCTTGGCCAATGTGTATTCATAAGTCAAAAAGAAGTTTTCGACTTATATTGACTTAATAGTGGAGTGAAAGATATGATCAATAATCGAGATTGACGCACTTCCATATCTCGAAATTGATCGGATCATTGATGAAGAGATTATGTTTCACGGTAAACGAACAAGTTTGGTTTTGTCATACCACGTGACATTTTCCGTCATATGTATTGTCGTGACACATTGCTAGATGTCAATTTGAGACAGCGAGTGTGAATTGACGATAAATTAAAAGAGTGTTTTAATTTATCAATTTTGATCAGATCAAAATAATATTTCACATCGTTAGACATCGTGATCGGGAACCTGATGTGTCGCACACAAAAGAGAATTGGAAGTTTTCAATTTGTCAATTAATTAATTTAACAATCGTTGGATAAATTAATTAATTGAGTTGGTTATTTATAGGCCCGAATTAATTAATTGGATTAATTAATTCACGGATCGGATTTAATTAAATATTGGACCGGACCGGGCAGGGCCGTTTGGGCTTATATAAATACATGGCTAGGGTTTTCAATCCATACAGTTTTCTCATAATTATTCTTGCTAGTACAAGAGGAGAAAACTCTGGCAGCTGCAATCTTATTTTCTGTGTGGATCATCATTGGAGGCTGGACAATTGAATAGCTGTGGGTGGCGAATCAAGATTTCTGGAATGAAAAGAATAGCAAAGAAGTTTGCAGATCTGGAAAAAGTACAATCTTATCACAATTTCTATCTAAATACAAAGGCGATTCTTGGTAGGAATCGAAATATGTTTTAATTTTTCGTTGTGCATGTTAAGTAGATTTCCAACAATGCCACGGGTAAAATAATCCACTATGAAGAAATTAAAAATACAAAATTAGCAAAACAATCAAAAGTAAGTAAATAACAATTCCCTCACTTTCTTTTCTCTTTTGACTTGTTGGAGAAGTATAATCGAATCCTCTGATTTTGACTTTATCGCCACTTCACTATTGTATTAAATCACAACCACAATTTGGATTAAGATTTACCAATCTTAACTCACACCAAGTAGCATGATCTTTGAGTAGAATTATATCATTCAAACTTAGATCTGTAATCTTTAATTACGGTTGAAGAACACGATTTTTGCTTTTAGATAATTCAATAGTAAACCAGTTGGTCAAAACTCACTGGTGACGATCTGAAGACTTTAGAAATTGCTATTGTAGGTTTGCTGGGCATGGACAAATTGTTCTCAAAGCATTAGTTCACCCCTTAATGATTTTCTTTATTTATGTAAAGACCCCTCTAAGGCACGAACATGTCTTACCTAAAATATGATGTTTTGTCCGATAAGAATAATATAGAATATGTTTGATATGGTCAATAATTAAATTAAAGAAAGTTTTAATTTGCTAAAATTATCTTTAACGTTCAACTATAGTGAATTAGTTGTAATCAAATTTGATCAACGTAACACAAAAATGTTTTTTTTTTGTTTGTAATTATTCTATCTTATGCTATGAATTATGTAAAAGCTTGGTTCTAATAAAATTGTGAGATGAAGGTATTGGATTTCAGAATCCACCTATTGATCTCTATCTCCAATTCTCGACTCATGTAAGTTAGTATTCTTCAAGTGTTTGTGGCAATTGATAATTCGTTAATTTTATCGATTCATTGTCATTTATTATTATTATTTTTTTGTTTTTGTTTTGTTTTCAATTTTCGATTAATGTCTCCCTTACATTTATTGAATAAAAAAAAGAATAATTAGAATTAAAATCTTTTCATTTGTTGAAGCATATTAGGCGTGTTCCGTATGATTAAAAGAGAAAGAAAGAAAAGATTGGTACCCTTTTTTGCCACTCTTGCTTTTTGTCTAATGAGTTGACATTTTTATTATCTCCAGGAACTGTATATACTGTAAAAAAACGTGGAAACATGGGATAGCCACATAAATTTATCTTATAGTGCCTTTTTGTTTGATAAGTAACCTCAATCAATCACAAGAAAAAAAGTAGAAGTTATCATCAAATTAAAGCAAGGTGGTGGTCTTCATCTTATGACGTCTACGATTTGAGTCTTGCTGCAAGGGCCGATTGAGATTTTAGGGGCCTTATGTCAATTTCAAACATGGAGCCCTTTAAGTATTCGACAAAATATACATAATTGTAATAATAATTTCAAATGTTACTCTTCTAGAATTTTTTTGATAGCAAATCAATAATTATACTATTACAATCAATCTATTTTAAAATTCCTTTTTCAACAGATACCATGACTAATATATATATAATCAAAGACGGAGGGAGAGGGGGGCTGGGGTGGGCTACAGCCCAGCCCAGCCGAAAAGCTAATTAACTTGTAAAAAATGAAAAATTCAGCCCAAATTATTGGTGAAATAAAGAAGGATAAAAATTTAGCCTAGTCCATAAATTAATTTTAGCACAATTAACTTCATTTACAACCCAAATCTAATGTTCAATTATTTAAATTTAAATAGTTCATTTATAATCAAATTAATTTATTATATTAGAAATCATTTTTATTGATTAAAGTAAAGATTAATAACTTATTGTAGCATGTCACATGTTTGACTAAGTTTAAAAGTAATTAATTTTTTCAAACGTATTTTTTCATATATTGCTTATTTATACTTGTGAGTTAAAAATTTATTTATTTTGACCACGAAATAGAAATATGCTTTATATTTACTTTTATCATTTAAAAATATATTTGTTAGAATTTTGTCATAAATGTTTAAAAATATATCTTGACCCATTTTGTCGTGAAGAGTGTAACCTTTTAAACTAAATCTTGAGTAGCAAAGTGCGTTTATGAAAAAAAATTCAATTTTCAGCCTAGCATATCTTCCTAACTCCACCCTTGTATGATGTTGTTAACTAAATGTAGGATTTTATTAACTCCACTTTGAGAAGTTATTATTGGCACATGTAAGTGTAACTGACAATAATATTCTACAAGCAATTCACAAATTTTGAAAAATAATAGTTTATCATTTTAATATAATCTAACACCTCAAGTCTTCAATCGTCTTTTGAATCTCTCATGGCAAACAATTCCCAAATATACAGCTTAAAAAATATCTTTTACTCATAATATCAGAATTTTTATTGTATTTCAAAAATTCTTCAAACTTATAACACAAGTACTTCAACAAATTATCACCTACAGTCTTTTTTTTTTTTAATTTATTTTTTAGATTCAAATAAAAATCCAAAAAAATTCATGTTTTCTGAAATTGTTCAAATTATCTTAAGTGATAAAAGAGTCTGATCCACTTATATAAGGAATAATCAACTCTAATAGCCGTTTCAATAATTCACCAAACAGTTCTTACCTTGAAATATCATTAAAAAATACAAAAGAAATAAATTATAAATAAATTCTTCTACTTTAACTAGACTTACTAAGATGTATACATAATTAAATTTTACAAAGACTTAACTAACCTATCTTTTGTATTTTAATTAAACATTAGCATGTTTGCTAATTGGACTGCATTGGCTTGTTTAATTATTTTTGGACTCTATTTTATTTATAGTTTTTTTATGAATCCCATATAATAATATTTTTGGAGGTCTTCATACAAGTGAGGTCTTGGCATCGCTTACCCCGCTTATAGTCAGGGCCACAACTATTTGTTGCAACATATTTGTTAAAATTTTGTACGTGAAAAAAAATTTGATGAAAAAATAATCACTAATACATATCGGATTCTGCCGATGATTACTCAAACTAGAAAAGTTCAATTAATTAAGAAGTTAATAGAATTCTGTAGGCCCTTAAGGACAATCTTTAAGAATATCCTGTGCCGGTGATTATGAGAGTATATTTATGTCGCACTTTTTCTTAGATACTTTAATGTTATTTACTAAATAGTGAATGACAATCATGATGAGAAAAAGTAAAAAGGAAAAAAAAAAAAAAAAAAAAAAAAAAACCACTAAAGATTATATTAATAAGCTATAATTACATTATATTATCCTCAGCCCACTTATATTAACTAATATTTAATTTAATTTTTGTTGTCAAATGATTTTTATCATCTAACAATAAAAACGTAATACATTTTTGGTATAATGCATTAGATTACATCAGATAACACTATAGAAAAATAAATTAAAATTTTATGTACAATAGTGCTCAACATGGTCTAATAAATCGTTCCAAATATAAAATGTTGTACCTGATTACTTACGTTAAACCTAGCCTCTATTGTATTATTTCTCTTCTTTCAACAATACTTGTTTCTTAATAAATTTTTTCTCGATATTTTCTAAGATGAGAAGGAACCTCTATAATTTCCATGTGTCAAAATCTGTATATAATGATTGCATGAAATAAATAACACGAGCTTATTCTTAATATTCAATTAAAAATGGTTTTCTCATTTATAAATACATAATTAAGCAAGAAAAGAAAACAAACCAGCACAAATTATTCAGATTAATATACAGAACAAGATACATAATCAAAATAAAAAATAAAAAGAAAAAGAAAAAGAAAAAAGGAATAGGAAGGAGCATGAGCTTCAATTTACATTTTAACTTCAACATCATTGGGCAAATTCTGATGCACATTTGCGTCTTCAATTCCATCATTAATTGGCCGTGAAACAACTGAGAGTTTCTCGGAATTTAACAGTGCATGATATTAACAATGTCAATAATTTGCTCAGTTAATTCTTGAACTTTGTGTTCTTCCAAAATTATAATTTTATTTGGTATTTCAGGAAGCTTTTTCTTTTCGCCCTTGTCAGCATTTTTGTATATTACATAAAGCACCATTTGAAGAACCCCGAAGCTGAAGCCTAGAACATTTGGAATCTGTACGACAGCAAAATAAATATTATTAGCAAAAATTAATGAAGATGTCGTGTAAGGGACATGCATTAATAGGGAAATGCTGAAACCGTCAAGACATTAACTTCGATAGGAATTATTATTATTATTTTTAATTATTATTCTTTTTACCACCCTAATCGACTGACGTTATTGGGAAATATTACGTTTTTTAGGACAAGAAGTTGTGATCCTTGTTCTATCTCCTTTTCCTTCGGAGAAGAATGAATGAGGGTATTAACTTACAGCAATGATAAAGTCCCTGAGTAGTAGACCATAGAAGAACCACATAACAGCGCTAATTGTGAGAAAAAATGATAGAAGAAATGGCATATATTCGACGCTCTTTGTTCGTATAACTTGTCTCTGCAAAGAAAATATATAAAAATGAAACAACAAAAACAACTTGATGCTGAAAATTATTTGATTTTCTACTTTTTTTTAAGCTTACCACAATGCCTAGAGGGGCAATAAATACACACAATGAAAATACTAGACAAATCCATCCAACAACGTGGGTACGTTTCGAAGCTTTCACCACAAGTTGATTCGTGAGAACGATAAGACCAAACCCACAAACTATCACCACAAAAATTAACTTTATAGTTTGTACCTGCATTTCAAAAAAGTTCGACAACTCAACTCATCAACAGTCTCATATAAATTTAACTTCACTAGTTTAATATAGTGGAGAAAGCAATACTCATCTTGTGTTTCAACTTTTAGGGTCTATAGAGATGGTTCAATAAGATGTCATTTACCTTCTTTGGTGCATAGAAGAGGTAGAAGGAAATGTATGCAGTTTCAATGAAACATCCGACAGAATTTATGGTAATAAGAAGTGTGGTATTGTCAGACTTGAGAAATGCATAGTACATCCACAGCATGGAACTGAAAAGAGCAATCACATAAGGAACTGATTGGAATCCTTCACTTGATTTTTTCTTGTAAATTTGATAGAAAGTTGGCCTACAATCAATAATTGATAACAAGATATTATAGTCCATAATTAATTTTAAATTGAACACATTTTTAACTTGTAAAATAATAAAACTTACAATGGCGAAAGATAGACCATGAAGGATATGATATTACCTACAACAATACCGAAAAAAATTACTATAATGTCAAGGAACAATCATATGTAAATTTAAGTTTTGTAACTTGTATCAACAATATTAAGTAACAACTATATAGTAACGCATATTATTAATAAAATGAAAGAAGAGTACAACTTAGAAGGTCGTATAAGACGTTGGTAGCCAATATAATAAATAAAATGGGGATGACATCAATTATTGAACCAGCTTCAAAGTAAGTACTGTGTGAAGTTGCATGTAATCGACTTGCTGTCATGCATGCATGTTAATGATTGAATTTGATGATTGCCAAATCCATCCACAATAATTTAATAATCCAATTCTACTACACAAATTGAAGTAGATATACTTTCTTCTGGCCAACAGTACAAGAAGAAGAAAATATGAAATACACTTAGTTAGTTAGTGCTTTCTTTTTCATAGAAAATAAGTAATTTAGGTTAAAAGAATACTAGGTCTTACCAAGTAGACCAAATGCAAGAACCCAGTCTCCAGAGAAACCTGCCATCTTTCTTCACCAAATTTTGACACTTAAAAAACAAATATTATTAGCTATCTAAATTCTGATGGACAATAACGAACGATTATGGTACCTATTTATATAGAAAGAATATGGGACACTTGTGCATTAATGTAGAGGTTGGCCGAGATTTTTTAAAATAAAAAAATAACAGATAATTTCTAATAAAGAGGGAGCCCTTTATCAGGTATTATATTGATTGATTCAAGCCCAATCTGTTAAGGATAGAATTCTACTTAGAATAAAGATGAAAATATTAACTAGCATATAAGAATTTCGCTACTTCTTTAAATAAAGTTGACCTTTTAAAATGAAATTTCAAATTTTAATATGAGCTGGTAAAGGTTTAAATCTCTATTCCACTCATTTAACGAAATTTTGCATGTGTCAAGTTTTGATGGAAAAAAATGAATATCTACTATCGTGACGAGATTTGTTAATTTATGCTAAGTACTTGGTAACATAGTGTACAATTGGTGGTGTAATTAGTGTACAATTGGTGGTGTAATTAGTGCTGTGACCAAACATTATTTCTCACCACCTACTGTAATGAACCATGTCACCCAAGAGCAATGCTTAAGAAATTAGTCATAAATAGTCCTTTTAACAGTTTAGGCTTTTAGATTACGTGATTCAGCACAATTTCATGCTTTATACCAAGTTGATCACAAATCTTTTTCAGATTGTACAGAGTTGGCCTTTAACCTTTCATCGTAGTTGGACAATAAGCCTCCAATGATGAAAATTATCCAAATCTAAGGTATAGTGTTACATGTTACTCATATGTCTAATTTTATGAAGCTAAATTTCACTTAGAAGTCTCGGTCCGTTCTTAAAAACTTGAAGTGAAGCATGATTTTATAAGAATTGTACAATTATTTAACGAAGTTTTGAAAAATTTTTATTGCTAGAATGAGAGCCTATTTGGGAGTGATTTTGAGAATTGATTTTTTGACTGTTATGAGAAAAATGGGGTCCACCTATGAGAGAAGAAGTCAAATATGACGTCTGAAATAGTAAAATAACGGTCAAAAAATCAATTTTTTGGGAGAAAAAATCGCTCCCAAACAGCCCTTGAACAATTATATAATGAAAGGTTGACACCACGGTTGAGGACCAATTTTGCAAATTTTTCTTTAGGTTATTTCATTCATGAATCATGACGGTCATAATTGTCATTTCACTTGTCAGAGTCCAATCCTCCCGGCTTTAAAGCTTAAATCTCGTTCATAAATTTCTGATGAGTATTTGATTATTTTATTTTGTATGGGAACCTATCCCACAACGTTCTCCAATTCAGCAATAAATTAATTCATAAAGGTTCATATGACCAATTATTTTATGCCACTTGGTGACAATTATAGAATGGGTCCCATTCTTTTACTCGTAATTTGAAGATTGTGCAGCAAAAGTGTGATGAAAAAATTGAAGATATGCTTTAGTGGGCTTATCTTGTCTTCGTGGTTTATGTCATTTTTGGATGAGTTTTGTTTCCATAATGAAATGCTGGCGTGAATTTGTTAATCATTGCTTTCAAAACGTTAGGGGGTGTTTTTATTTTCATTTTTTTTTATTTTTAGATGTAGTTTTCAGACACGTCCCATCATTTGTAGGTTGAATTATTTTCATCAAAGGCGCATCACTTGAACAATTTTTATAAATTAATGGTTGTTCGGTGTGAACAAGTATTTTGTTTGAATTTGTTACATTTAACCATTTAATCTAAAGTTCAACATTATTTTTCATGTCACATATTGTACTTGAATCTGAACTTAGACTGACTTCAACTACAATTGAACGCTGCCCACTATGTGCTTCAGTGCAATTTAAGGGTTTTTCCCTCAATATTGTGATGCATGGTAACCATCATGTTGAGGGAAAGTTTTGTTACTTAACCTCGTTATTTCTTGAGACAAATACGAAATAGCAGATGTGCATTAGGATCTTCATTCATTTTTATTTTTTTTATTATTTGGGTTGTCAAGGTACAATTTCTATAAAAACTAAGTGGGTTTACAATTAACAATTTCGTAACAATTAAGTCTTTTTTAAATTGATTAATTGAAATTAACTTCCCCCACGCTCATTTTCAAGGACAACATTCTCGCCAAAAAAAAAAAAAAACATTTTTTACATTTTTCCATAACTTTTTCCTAATTTATAACACATTAAAAAAAAAAAATTCACTTTTCACTTTTGAAATAATCACTTTCATACAAATGGCAAGTATTTCATTAAAGATTATTGAGAAAACATTAACCATCTAAACTTTATTCGTGAATATATTGAAAATTATAAGATAACTAGATATTTTCTGTTTTGTTACGAGAATTTCAAGAGTTTTTATGTCTACGTGTTTTTATTGTCAAATCAAGGATATGAAAGTTAAAAAAGATGTATAACTACAAAATTCTTGTCATTGTTAATTATTGAACCTCCACCATCCCTTAATTGTTCATCATTTTATGCTTTGTTGAAAAAAAAAAAAAAAGTAAAATTCTATATAAATTAATAAGAAGGGCATACAGTGAATTCCATATGGATTTTTTTCGTCCATGCAAGTTTCTAATCTTTTATAACTCTTCTCTTCCCTAATTAAAAATATTATGCATATATTTTCACTAATTTTTACTACAAAAGATGCGTGAACCAAGATGTTTCTAGGTTTGTAGTGTTTATTTGGACAGGTTGCTTATGATATTTCATTAAAGCACGTGAAAATGAAAGTTTAATGAGAAAAATATTCAGAGATTGCATGTATGAGCTACACTTGTATCACTTTTAAGATTATGTGATGGTGCGTACTTCAATCGTCAATGACAATAACATTATAAAGGTCGAAAAGTGTGAAGATAAAAAGAGAAAATATAAGACGAGTAGCAATTTCCCTCATTTCCATTATGTGCTCACGCACATCTTTAGAATTGCCAAATTTCATGCCCGAAAGCCTTTTCATTAAGGTGCTAGCTAAGAACTTACAAATTGCTCTTCAATAGCCTTTATGAAGTCCTTGGCCTTATCACATTGAGGGATTGATCCCCTGATGCTTTTACTAACACGAGTCTTCATGAGACCTACGCTTAAGCGGTTGGATCTTTCCCACGATTCATATTGTGACCTCTCTTCTGGCGTATTTAATTCCATAGGGACAAGTGGTTCATCCACACGGAGCGCTAAGATGAGATCCGTACATCCCAAAGTAAGGAGAATTTTCTCCTTCCAGCCAAAAAAGTTATCACCACATAGAATTGGAATTCGAATAGAGTCATTGAATAAAATTAGGAACCGCTGCAAAAGTAAACACATACATTAATGCTATGAAAATCATCATTATATTGAATTAACCAATGTCAATTCAATTATGTAAATTCAAACCTTCCTGTGGGTAAAGGTTGTTATCACACATCGAATTTACACAGACTTTAGTAATATCAAATACAAGTATTTTTCATACCGGTGGGCCTAGGAAATTTCTTGTTTCGATATTTAATAAGTACTTTATTGAAATCAAATCCTTAAAACAACTATTTCCCTGTGGGGCCAAATAATCATCATAATAATTAACTGCACTTTATGTGATATCAATTATATCACCAAATAAGTCCTTAATCTTAAGTTATAATAGCATGTCAAAACCTCAAATGACATCTATAAACCATATATATATATATATATATATATATATATATAGTCAAAGGTATGTTCAATGTTCAGTGCAATTATAATTAATATAACTAATTAATGAATTTCAACTAATTTATATGGCACAATGACTGCTTTGAAATTGATTCCATTAAAGAATTACATGACCATGTTGAAGTAACACAATTAAGGCAGAACCCAAGCAATTACATTACACTATATTACAATTATTTCTCCATATAGAAACAGAAGGTCAAACGACATCAATTCAAATTTTTACTTCAAGACATGATGTGAAAAGGAATGAATAAATATTGCACATAATCCATATGCATTTCAAGTACCCATTAATTTTACAAATCCATTAGAAAACTAATTATTTAACATCATGATTGCCAATTAAGAAATCAATTATTTATAAAACAGGGCACCTTTGAACTTCAAATAATAGTTCAAATAATATAGGTTAAAACACATACCAACTTGGTAAAATATTAATCCGCCTCCATAAATTATTAGTACTGTAGCAAGTAAATGGATTAGCGCTAATTAAAAAAATACGAAACTGCACATCTACTCCGTAGTTATAGCAACAGATTCTTTATGCATGTCACTGAAAATACATACACAAAAATTCTAATATTTTAATAGAGGCAATCATTGCTGCCATTTGAACACAATTGATCAATAGCTTGCAAATATTTAATTATGAATTTAAACATGCTATGGCATTCTGCTTCAGGTAAAAGGCACCGTCGCCATCATCCAGTGATGGCTTTGTCTTGGAAAGTAGAAATTAATTGTATTCACAACACATATACGTAGCAATAGCATACATATTAATATGCAACGGATTTAATACTTATTCAAATAGAAAAATCTGAATAACAAGCATAGAGGATGGCTTTGATACCACATATAAGAAATTAAAATGTGTACCTCCAGCCATGTTTGCAATAGAAACGAGCCTTTAAGGCACCAAAAGGTCTTCCAGCCAATATCCACTTTATAACCCTTCAACTTGATGGAAATAAACTCAGAACTTTCAATTTTTAGAGAGAAAATTCTGCAGGGATTTTGTACAGGTTTGGCTAGGAACCCTTTGTCATATATATAGACAATCACCAAACAACTTCCATCCATCATGGAATTGGGTAGTTTTTTCTTGTAATAACTTCCCTCCTTTAACCAAATGGGAAGTTATCTTGGCAGTCAATTAATCCACAATTTAAATTTAAAATGTATTTAATTTTACATTGATCATGTAGGCTACAAACGGTTTACAAAAGCACCATTTGAAGAACGCTAAGATGAAGCCTAGAACATTTGGAATCTGTATGGACAAAGTAAAATAGATATTACCAGCAAAAATTAACGAACATGACGTGTAATAGATGTGCTTTAACGGGATTAG